TTCCAAATCAGTTTTTACATTCGAAAAATATTGATTTTAATACGAGATATGGTCATTTTAGTTTTGGGACGATGTGGCCTAGTTTTGGATTTCTAGGCCACCAAATTTGAAATGGCCATAACTCCCTTCTAAATCGATATTTTTCAAATCTATAAACTGATTTGGAATTCTCAAAGCATGCTCTTTCGAACCGTATACATCATGGCCTAGTTTTCATACCATTTGGATTTCTAGGCCACGAACTAAAAATTGACGTATCTAGCTTCAAATTGGTGGTTTTTTTCGATTTTTAGAAGTGATTTTCAACCCAAAAAACCACAATTTCCCTTCCAGCCCGACCCAAAACGAGCGACGGATCGTTTGAAAACCGAAAAGACATTCCTGGAGAAATACCGCCGATTCTATGAGCCCCTCCAAGCCGAAGTCGACCTATTTTTTCGAAATTTGGCTATTTCGCGGCAAAACGGACACAACGAATGGGTGGATTTCAATGCGACGATGATGGTGATCTGGGATCGCGCCACGCGGCGCCTGTTTTATCAATTTAAGCGGAATGGGGTGGGTTTTAGGCTGAAAATATGGATTTTTAGCACTAGATGGCCTAGAAAAACCTCTGAAAAATTTCTAGGCCACCATCAAAAAATAAAAAAAAAACTTTTTTTAAACTTTCAGCGCTTCCCGGAGCAAATGTCAGCGGCTCTTTCGTTGGGAAAAGCGACAGTTGTGATTCATAATTTCACCAGAACCGGAGTCCTGGGAGTGGTTAGTTTAGTTTGATTTTTTTTTTGGGGTTCCTAGGCCATGAAATGATTTTCTAGGCTACCATAGCCGAATTGGGCGTTTTCTGGAGCCTAGGGATCCCGTAGGTCATTTTTCAGGTGATGGCCTAGAAACCCAAACTTTCGGAAAACTAGGCCATGATGTATATAGTTCTAAAGAGCATGCTTTAAGAGTTCCATACCAGTTTTTCAAATTGAAAAATATCAATTTAGAAGTGAGTTATGATCATTTTAGTTTGATGGCCTAGAAAACCAAATTTTGTGAAAACTAGGCCGTGATGTGCATGGATTCAAAGAGCATGTTCTGAGAGTTCCAAATCAGTTTTTAGAACTGAAAAATATCGATTTTGAAGTGAGTTATGGCTATTTCAAATTTGGGTTGATATGGCCTAGTTTTGGATTTCTAGGCCACCAGAACTAAAATGGTCATAACTCCCTTCTAAATCGATATTTTTGAAATCTAAAAACTGGTATGGAACTCTCAGAGCATGCTCTTTCGAACCATGCACACCATGGCCTAGTTTTCACTGAATTTGGATTTCTAGGCCACCAAGCGTAACCAAGCTTCAAAATCGATATTTTTCGCTCGAAAACGCGCCAAAGGCACGCTAGAAGGTCTCTCTCTCTCACCCGAATTTGCTGCAATTCTGGCGTCTGAAGGTACAGCTCAAAAGCATATTTATTTTTTCTCGAAAAATCGTGAAGAGCCTTCTCGAACTCGGCCAGCGGCTGGAATAGTGTCCTGTCTGTGGGTTGGTGATCATTTTTTGCTGAAAAAAAAACTGAAAAAATAGGCTGAAATTCCAGAAAAATCGAGAAAAAAAAGACATCAAAAATGGATGAGAGATTCCAGTGAAATCGGGAAAAAAATTGAAGAAAAATAAAAAGATTCAAGGATTTTTGTATTTCAAAAATTAACGAAAAATGGGCAAAATATGGATATTTTTGAGCTAAAAACAGCGATTTTCTGCTATTTTGTGCTAAAAAATCTCGAAAAATGGACAAAAAGGTTACAAAATGTGCAAAAAATGGACCAAAAAGACAACTTTTAGAGGAAAAATTGATGAATTTCGAGCGAGTTTTTTTTTTGAAAAAAAACCAATTTTCTAGCAATTTTCAATTCGAAATTCCAAATTTTTAGCTCAAAAATTAACAAAAAAAAAACAAAAATTTGAAAAATTTCGACTGAAAAAATCAGAATTTCTGGAATTTTTTTGGCTCCAAAAATCTATAAAAATTGACAAAATGAGTGATTTTCTAGCAATTTTCAACTCGAAATTCCGAATTTTTAGCTCAAAAATTAACAAAAAAAGACAAAAAAGGAAAAAAAAGAATTAAATATGATCCAATTGTTCTGGATCCAACTCCTCGGGATAGTGATCTTTGACTTCCAAGTCTTCTCCATATTGAATTGTCGTATCGATTGTTAGAAGAAGCTGATCGATGCTCTCCTCGTCTTCACAATTCAATGGAACGAACTTTACGATGGAATAGTCTTCGAGGACCTGGAAAAATTGGAAATTTCAGTGGAAATAAGCCAAAAACTATTAATTTCGAGCTGAAAAAGATGAAAATTGGCTAGTTTTGGAGGGTTTTTTAGTCAATTTTGACAATTTTCAGCTCTGAGGATCATTTTGAGCCATTTCTCCTCATGATTTTAAAACCGTTTTCAGGGATTTTAGGACATTTTTCATGATTTTAAAGCCATTTTCAGTGATTTTTGAACTTTTAAAAGCTATTTTCCATGTTTTTAAGAACATTTCAAACCTGTTTTTCATGATTTTCAGACCACTTCAGGGCAATTTTCATGATTTTTAGGTAATTTCTCATGTTCTAATAACCAATTTTCATAATTTCAATGTCATTTTTTATGCTCTTTTAGCAAATTTTAGTGATTTCTAGGTCATTATTCATGTTTTCAATGCCTATTTCAGCCTTTCTGAAACTATTTTTGGCCCATTTCCGTGATTTTTTTGACAATTTAAGAGCCATTTTCCAGTCAATTTTCAGCTCATTTTTGAATATAGGACCATTTTGAACCATTTCTCATGATTTGAAAACTATTTTCTGTGGTTTTAGGACATTTTTCACTGGTTTTTGAGCTAATTTTCACGATTTTGAAGAACATTTTAAACCTATTTTTTTTCAGACCATTTTAAGGCAATTTTAATGATTTTTGGGTCATTTTTAGGTGTTTGTGGGTCATTTTTCATCTTTTTGGGCTTAAAAATGCCGAAAAATCCCAATTTTTTAAATTTTTGGAGCATTAAAAAGTCCAGAAATGGTCTTGGAAAATCGTGGAAATTTTAAATTTTCAAATTTTTGACTGAAATTTGGCAATTTTCAAGCTTTTTGAGCTCAAAAATGTTCAATTTTCAACATTTTCGGGTCATAAAATGCCTGAAAATTCCGATTTTTCCACTTTTCAGGGTTTAAAATTGTCCAAAAATCGTCGAAAATGATTCAAAACGTTTGAAATTACACATTTTTGACTGAAATTTGGCATAGCATTTTTAGTGATTTTTTGGACTTTTCTGAAGCTATTTTCCCTGTTTTTAGTAACATTTTAAACCTATTTTTTTTCTGACCATTTTAAGTCAATTTTCATGATTTTTGGGTCATTTTTCATGATTTTTGGGCCATTTTAAGGCAATTTTTTAAAAATGTTAGAAAATTTTCTATGATTTTTAAGTGATTTTTTATGTTCTAATAACAAATTTTCACGATTTCAAGACCATTTTCAGCCTATTTTTCATGATTTCTTAGTTTTTTAAAATGATTTCAATGGCATTTTTCCCAATTTTAAGACAATCATAAAGCTATTTTTATGATTTCAAGACCATTTCCAGCGATGTTCACAATTTTCCAGCCATTTTTCATGGTTTTTGGCTCATTTATAAGACGATTTTTCAGCTGTATTTCCTAAGTTTCAGACTAATTTTGACCTACTTTTAGGCTATTTTCCATGATTTTAAGATCATTTTTCAAGATATTTTCGATTGATCTAATTTTAAGCCATTTTCGCGATTTTTACCTATTTTCACAAATTTCAGACCATTTTAAGCCAATTTTCACGACTTTGGGACTGTTTGAAGCAATTTTTAACGATTTTCAGACCACTTTTCACAATTGTTAGCCCTTACCTGAGCAATAGTTCTTGTCAATCTGCGATGTTTCGAATTCCAAACAGTCTCGTCCTGATCGACAATCGAACGAGTGTCCGTTTCCAAAAACTCATCAACCAGTTGCTTATTTCTCTCGGAGAGCAAGTCCATCTTCGTGAGCACATTGATGGCCGGAGTCTCTATGGCAACCATTGCGGAGAGGGCTGTGAGAGCTCCCGAAATGAATTTCTCGGCTTCCAGGACGAAATTCGTGTCGATTAGGAACACAGAGCAGACGTTGAAGTCCCAGGACTGGAAATTTTCGGAGGTTTTTAGAGCTCTTTTAGGGTTTTTAGGGGTTTTAGACCTTCAAAGCATCCACAATCTGTCTCATCACCGGCAAATGACTGTATAACTCAATTTGTCCTGGACAATCGATAACGAAGTAGTCGTCCTCCCCTTCGTCGAGCTCATCGTGCAGCCAATCAAGATTTTGAACGAGGTATCTGCAAAATTAGCCTTTAAAGAAGCTATTTTTGACCTAGAAATCTGAAAATTTTCAAATTTTTTGAAAAATCCAAAAATCTCACTCCATGCAAAAAACCAGCGCGCCATTCGGACCCAGAATCAACTCCTCATCCTCCTGAACATCATTCACACTGATCAAATCGCGAACATCTGGAATTTAATGTATTTTTTCGCAAAATTCGAGATTTCCCCACCAACGACAGCCGGATAATTGAAAACCTCACAAGCCGGATCCAAATTCACCATTCGCAACGTCCTTCCCGTGCTCAGACAGTGATTGTGCATCACTGAGCAGTAGGTTGACTGGAAAATTTGAAAAAAAATTACTCTTTAATTCTAAGGCGATTTTCATACTTTTCCACTGCCCGCCGGTCCCATTACAAGTTGTGCGTACTTCATTTTAAGCTGAAAATTCGATTTTTACAGAAAAAATCAGGTAAAAACGGGAAAAAACGGAAAAAAACGGAGAAAAATGGAGGAAAAAGCCGAATAAAATCGAAAATTTTCCGGGTGTGCGATGGAGCGCGCTTGCTAGTTTTTACCTTATTTTTCATCAATTTTCACCGAATTTTCGCTAAAAAAGCTCTAAAAAAATAGTTTTTTCGCCGGAATTTCGCCCATGGACACATTCACAGATGTCGACGCGAAAGATGCGAACGTTATGCTCGGCTCGCTCATCGTTTTCTTCGCCACCGGATGGCTTTTCTATACGAAACAGTTGTTCAAAAATTATGAGGTTTTTTGTAACTAAAAAATATTTTTTTAACAAAAAAAATGTAATTTTCAGGTGCACAATCGAACGGTCCAGTTCATTTTCTCGCTAACTTTCGCGTTTTCGTGCAGTTTATTTGAGCTGATTATCTTTGAAATCGCAGATGTTATGGCGCCGTTGTAAGGGATTTTCGGAGGATTAAATATGTTCGAAAAAGCTGAAGAATTGAAATTTTTCAGCTAAAAATGCCAAAAATCGGAAAAATTAACATTGAAAAATTTTTTTCAAATATTAAAAATCCACAAAAAATCCAATTATGCTCTTTTTAGAGATATTTTCCCTTATTCAAATGTCTAAAAAAAAAAATGTTTAAGCTAAAAATTCCAAAAATCAAAGAAATTTTTTTTTTAATTTGTAAATTTTTCTTTCAAAAATTTTCAAAATTTTTTTTGTTTCTAACACATTTTGACTGTTCCAAGCTGAAAAATTGAGTACTTTTCGCCAAAAAAAAAACGAAAAAACCACCCAAAAATGAACATTGTCAAATTAAAACAAAATTTTTTTTCTCAAAAATTCAAAATTAAAAAAAAAATTTTTGAAAAAAATTTTCAAAAATTGATTTTAAACACATTATGGCCGTTTCAAACTAAAAATTCTTCATTTTTTCAGCCTAAAAAACCACCAAAAAATAGCTTTTTTCCAAATTTTTTTCAAAACTTTAGGGGTATTTTCGCCGATTCTGATGTCTAAAAAACTGGGAAAATCGAAATTTTTGAGCTAAAAATTCCAAAAATCGAAGAAAAATTGAAAAAAAAACAATTTTTTTCAAAATTTGTTTCTAACACATTTTGACTGTTCCAAGCTAAAAAATTGAGTATTTTTCGCAAAAAAGCTCAAAAAACCACTCAAAAATCCCAAAATTCCCTTCCAGATCCCGCTCCCGATGCTGGACGTTCTGTCTATCTCTAATCCTCATCACTCTCGTCGTCGTCATCCCTATCTACACCTCATTTCTAATCGTATCCAGTCTCGTTCGTCGCCACTTCCAACTACCACTCTCCGTCACCCTTTGGCTCATTTTTATCTGGTTTTTCTGGAAAATCGGCGATCCATTCCCGATGCTAAGCCCGAAACACGGCATTTTCACCATTGAACAAGTGATTTCGAGAGTCGGCGTCGTTGGTGTCACCATTATGGCCGTTTTGTCGGGGTTTGGAGCTGTCAACGCCCCTTATTGCTATATGACCTTCTTCACGCGGCCGGTTAGTGTCAAAAATGGCCTGGAAATCATGAAAAACTGCCCAAAATAGTCCAAAATCCCACTACATTTTTCTGATGATTTTTAAATATTTTTAAGCAAAAAATTCATATTTTTCCAATTTTTTGGCCGATAAAAGCCTAAAAATGCCCATTTTTCGCCGAATTTTCTCTTCCAGGTCGAAGATTTCCATGTCTGCCAACTAGAGAAGAAACTAACGCACACAATGGACCTAATCGTGCTGAAAAGCGAAAAGCCGCCCGTTATGAGCTGGAAAAAAATCGATTAGCCGGAGAGAAGACCCAGAAAGGAGCGTCAACGTTTTTCGAGCGATTTTTCGATAGTTTCAGCGAAAAATCCAGTGGATCCACGCTTGCATCGCAAATTGAGTAAGGAAATCGAGCTGAAAATGGATGGAAATCTGGAAAAATAGTCTGAATTTCATATTTTTGACCAGAAAATTGCGAAAAAATTCGGAAAACTCAAAATTTCAGCCAAAAAAAATTTTTAAAATGGTCTAAATTTCACATTTTCCACTGAAAATCCCGAAAAAAACATGGAAAACCCCGGAAAAATAAGCCAAAACAACCAAATTCAGGCGTCACACTTTCAAAATTTCAACTTTCGCGCCGACGGGTTTCGCCACGAAAAGCCGATTTGGCAACTGCGCCTTTGAACTACAGTAGCCAGCAAGCCAGAAATTTGTGTTTTTTCGAAATTTTTTCTGGATTTTCAGTGAAAGATGAGATATTTGACTGAGAAAAAATCGAAAATTGAAAAAAGACGACGAAAAATTGCCAAAAATTACAAAATTTGAAGAAAAAACGTTTTTTTTGTGAATTTCTACCGAAAAATTGAAAATTTTAGCAAAAAAATCCAAAAAAATGGTCCAAATTTCATATTGTTCATGCTTTTGTTCAGAAAATCCCGAAAAAATACGAAAAAACTAGCAAAAATGGGCCAAAACGTTCAAAATTTAGAACTTCGCGCCGACGGGTCTCGGCACGAAAAGCCGATTTGGCACCTGCGCCTTTGAACTACAGTAACCCACAGCGTGAAAAATGTTGTTTCGATGAAATTTTTCGGGATTTTCGATGAAAAATGAGGTAATTAAATGTAAATAATCCTAAAAAATGGTCCGAATTTCAAAATTTCCGAAGTTTTTATCCAGAAAATCCCGGAAAAAATACAGAAAACAAAAAAAAATGGGCCAAAACGTTCAAATTTTAGCGTTTCGCGCCAACGGGTCTCGGCACGAAAAGCCGATCTGGCAACTGCGCCTTTGAATCACAGTAACCCTTGAAGGGATTTTCAGTGAAAAACCAGATGTTTGACTGCAAAAATAGCAGAAAAATAAGGAAAAAAAGAAAAATAGCGAATTTTTCAGAATTTTTAGCCGAAAAAATTTTAGGCCATTTTCCATGAAAATCGTCGATTTTCAGCCGCCTAAAAGAGGAGATCATTCCCCTGGAGACCCTCGCCCGCTTCCTCTTCCTGGACCTTGTCGAAATGCGACAAATGCTGAATCGAGTCGAGTTCTCCAAGACATTCATGGGCATTTACTTCAACATCCTCGGCCATTTTTTCTCAATTTATTGCATTTGGAAAATCTTCATCTCGTTTATCAATATCGTTTTTGATCGGGTCGGAAAAGTGGATCCGGTCACGAAAACCATTGAAATCGGGGTTCATTGGATGGGCATTCCGCTGGATATCTCATTTTGGTCCCAATACATTTCATTTTTTCTCGTTGGAGTCATCGCTGTCACTTCTATTAGAGGTCTTTTGATTACGATGGCAAAGTTCTTTGTGTCGATTAGCAATGCCACGTCATCACTCTCCAATATTATTGCACTGCTCATGGCACAGATTATGGTGATTTACGGGTACTTTTAGGCCAAAAATTGGGAGTTTTCAAAGCCAAAATTTGTGAAAATTGGTAATTTTTTGAGTCAAAAATCATGAAAATTTGGTATTTTTAAAGCCAAAATTTGTAAAAATCGGTGGAAATCGAAATTTTTTTCGAAAACTTCTAATTTTCATATCTTTAATTTTCCCGACTGAAACTGATTTTTCTGGTTTTCTCATGAAAGTGGCTTCAAAGTGTGTCTAAACACGACCAAATTTGATGAAGTTTGAATTTTTTGAAAATTTCGAAATTCATCAAATCTAGGCATAATTGGGCTCATTTTGAAGATTTTTTTCTAATTTTTCCAGAATTTTAAGCAAAAAAAAAACTTCTGAATGACTAAAAACACCTCTTTTTCGGTGTTTTTTGGCCAAAAATTGGAAATTTTTTGAGCCAAAATTTGTGGAAAAATTGGCAATTTTTAGATCAAAATTGGCAGAAATTGTAAATTTTGAAAGCCAAAAATTAAGAATTTCAAGCCAAAATTTGTAAAAATCGGTGGCAATCGAATTTTTTTTCGAAAACTTCTAATTTTCATAGATTCCCTAATTTTCAATTTTTCTGGCTTTAACTGATTTTTCTGATTTTCTCATGAAAATAGCTTCAAATGAGCCTAAACACGACCAAATTTGATGAAATTTGAATTTTTCGAAAATTTCAAAATTCGTCAAATCTAGGCGTTTTTTGGGCTCATTTTGAAGCAAATTTTCTAATTTTTCCAGATTTTTAAGCGAAAAAAAGACCTCAAAATGACTAAAAACACCCATTTTTCTGTGTTTTTGGTCAAAATTTTTGAATTTTAAGAATAAAAAAAACCTTATTTTCAGGGAATGTACTTTGTCTCCTCGGTTCTCCTGATGCGAATGAACGTTCCCGAAGAATATCGAACAATTCTCACCCGGATCCTTGGCGACTTGAAATTCAACTTCTATCATCGCTGGTTCGACGTCATATTCCTCATTTCGGCGGTCTCTTCGATAGTCTTCCTCACCTTGATCCATAAAGCCGGGTCCTCCATGTTTCGGGCCTAATTTCTTGTGATTTTTTCATATTTTTTCCACCGGGTGCCTACAGCTTATACGAGGTAGAATAATAAAGAATTTTAAAGGTTTTTTGGGGGTCAGCATTCATCAGTTTTGAGTTTTGAGAAAGGTAAATTTAGGTACAAAATCCAAGGATTTGGGAAAAATGAGTACAGAAAAGTGGGGGAGAAAAATTGTACAATTGGGGAAAATTCAAAAAAAAACGAAGCGAAAATTTAAACATGAGCAATGCCAATCTCGTCATCCGCTTGCTCCTCATCGATATCGGCCAACACCTCGAGAAGGATCTCCATGTCGTCGTCGAGCTTTCGCTGCTGCTCCTCCAAATCTCCCAATTCCCGAATGAGCCGCCCGTTCTCCTCCATCTCATCGTCCTGATCCATCTGGAGACGATCGGCCATCACTCGCAGATAATTGATTGTGGGCGTGGCCGCAGTGAGATCGGATTCGACGATTTTTGGTTGAACATGCGCGACGGAGATTTGGGTTTGGGTGGAGGTTGTGTGGGTCTGGAATTTGGAAATTTCCGGATTTTGGGCTATTTTTTGAGGAAATTTGCCTCTTCTAGAACATTTTCACTGATATTTTGATGAATAATTGATAGGAGGGAGAGACAAAGCATATCAAATATCACTAATAAATCATAAATTCCTCCCTCAAATTGATACGAACCTCGAAGACTGTCTGCGTCTCCACGTTCTCCTTTGTCTCTGCTCCAGCGAAAACGTCGAACGGCGATGATTTGAGGCCAGCGGAGAGTGGCGACGGCGTCACCGCCGCTTGGAATTTCTTGATTTTCAGCGCTTCTGGAACAACACCTCCTTTCATGTTGGCCGTCGATTTTTCGAATGCGGCCTTCTCGGCGCCGAACGGGCTGTTGCGAGCCGAGCTGGTGAGTTGGACGAGTCCGACGCGGTGCATCTGGAACAAAAAACTATAAAGACAGCGAAAAAATGACGGAAATACAAAAAATTGGAAGAAAAAATCGAAAAAAAATTTTTTTTCAGCATTTTCAGTGAAAAATTGAAGATTTTAGCAGAAAATGTGTTGAAAAATGGGTCAAATTTCATATTTTCTGCATTTTCGCACAGAAAATCTCGGAAAAATGTGAAAAGTCAAGAAAAATGAGCCTAAACAACCAAATGTGGGCGGCACACTTTCAAAATTCGGATTTTCGCCGGGTTTTTTTTGATTTTTTCGAGATTTCTGTGGGAAAATAAGGTATAAAAAACCGAAAATATGGGAAAAAAACTACGGAGACAACGAAAAAATCGGGAAATCACAAAAAATTGAGGAAAATACCAAAAAATAGTGTTTTTTTTTCTGAATTTTTAGGGATAAAAATTCGAAAACCCGCCGGAATTTCACATTTTCTACAGAAAATCCCGGAAAAATGTGAAAAAAACCAAGAAAAATGAGCCAAAACAAGCAAAATTGGGCGGCACACTTTCAAAATTCAGATTTTCGCGCCGACGGGTCTCGACACGCAAAGCTGATTTGGAACCTGCGCCTTTAAGCTACAGTACCCCAATTATTTCGAAAAGCAGGGTTTTCCTTGCTTTTTTTTCGAGATTTCTGGGGAAAATAAGGTTTAACTGTAAAAAGACAGAAAACAAAAGAAAAAATAAGAAGACGATGAAAAAAAAAGGAAAATTACAAAAAATTGAGGAAAATATCGAAAAAATAGTTTTTTTTTCAGAATTGTTAGCAGTAAAATACTAAAAAATCGTTCGACTTTCACATTTTCTACTGAAAATCCCGGAAAAATACAAAAAAAACCATCAAAAATGAGCCAAAACAACCGAAATTGGGCGGCAAACTTTCGAAATTCCGATTTTCGCGCCGTCGGGTCTCGACACGCAAAGACAAATTTCCAACTTGCGCCTTTAAGCTACAGTCTCCCAATTATTCTGAAAAGCCGGGGTTTGTTTGATTTTTTCGAGATTCCTGGGGGAAAATAAGGTATTTAACTGTAAAAAACGACAGACAACATTGTAAAAATTGTGAAAAATAAGAGAGAAATAGTATTTACAAGGTCTTCATCGGGTAAAATTGATACAACAGAAAATATAAAAAATAAATTTAAAAATGTTAAAAATTGGAGAATCTCAAGCCTTCCCGACACTTTTCTCGACGTCTTCAGCTGATGTGTCCTCTTCAGAAGTCTTGGATTCATTCAATTTCTCGTTGCCCAAATCGAAAAGTCTCTTGTACTCTGCCTCTTTCTCTTTGAGCTTCGTACGCTTCTCGGCGCATTCTGTGCTCAGCTGAAAGAAGAGATTACGGTAATTTTCGTGGTGGGACCCTACCTCATCATTGATTCTCCTCAACCTGTCGACTTCGCCCTGCCGATTCGCCACTATCGTCTGCCAATACGCCAGTTCTTCATCGTTCTCCTCTTCTTTATAGTCCTTTATTGATTCCTCAATCGTCTGCACTTCTGTGTTTTCAAAGGAAATCTGAAAAAATCGGAAAATCGAAAAAATTCAAATTTCCGCACTAACCTCTTCAGTTTGACACGAAAATTCTGCATTTTTCGAGGTCTTCACCTCCTCAAACACTGAAAAGCTATCCATTTTGCTGAAAAAAGGTTCTTTTTTTGAGAAAAATCAGAAAAATATCGGAAAATTGGTGAAAAAGTGCACCCTAATTCAAAACTGCCGCCATTGGCGCAGTGCGATGGAGCGCGTTTGCCGCACTGTGACGTCATCAATTGATTCTAAACAATTTTTCCGATAGAGTTTAGCGGTTTTTTGAATAGCAAAGCCATTTTTTGAACCTAAAACTTGAATTTATAAATTTTTCAGCATCAAAAAATGAGTGTTTCATCAAATTTAATCGAGAATCAAATCAATAAAGGCATTCTAAAGCTGAAAGAAGACTGGAATTTGAAAATGGAGAAGGATTCAGAGTTAATAGATTTAGTCACAAAAGAATTACTTATAAATAGTGGAGGTTTGCGACAAGATGGCCAGGATTTGTCAGTAAATGTGAGAAAATTAAAAAAACAATTTTTTTTCGATTTTTCAAAATAATAATACAATTTCAGCTCCCAAAATTTTTCGCCGCCGACCAAACTTGGCTGGAACTTCAGATGCGAATTGGATATTCTGAAAATCCACAAAATCCGCTTATTCCACAGACGAGCGTCTACTTGCCGGGCATTTGTACTGGAGAGTTGGCTCCAAAGCATCCATGTAGGTATTGAGTTTAAAAATGGGCGGAAAATAGCTGAAAATGGCTTTGAAAATGCATAAAATTGCCAAAAAAACCGTTAAAAATGGTTTAAAAATCCGAATATTGCTCAAAAAAATTTTTTTTCCAAAATTCTCAAAAAATCGCTAAAAATATGCTTAAAATTGTCTAAAATTGCTAAAAATAACCGTAACCCACGGCTTAAAACAATCTGAAAATATTTTAGAAACGATTTGAAACCTTCAAAAAATGACCCTAAAATCCTAAAATCGCTCAAACAATTTGTAGAAAAAAATCGCTGAAAATTGGTCTGAAATTGCCAAAAATTGCCGAAAATAACTGAAAAAAGAGCTGAAAATGGTCTGAAAATTCTCAAAAAATTGTCCCAAAATTGTCCAGAACCCTCAAAAAATAAGCCAAGTTAAATCACTGAGAATAGGTCAAAAATCACCAAAAATAGGTGAAAAATAACATGAAAAAACGCTGAAAAAGCTGAAAAATGGCCTAAAAATTCTCAAAAAATTTCATCAAAAATCGCTGAAAATAGGCTTGAAATTGTCTAAATTTGTCTAAAATGGCTAAAAATAACATGGAAAACGCTGGCTTGAAAATGCTAAAAAATTGGTTTTTGTAGCTTAAAATAGGTCTAAAATAGCCCGAAATCGAACATTTTGCCCCAAAAAATCCCTATATTTTTCAGTTGGCGTCCCTTCCTACCACTACTACACCTGCCCTTCAAATAGGGGTACCATCAGTCGAAAATCCACCTACGACTACGTTTTATGCCCAAAATACCATGGACACCGACCAAAAGTGCAAATTTCCAACGCAAAAGTCACATTAGAGCCATTTGGAGCGTTTCCAGCGATGGAATTATGGAGTTTTGGAGAAAATGCCATCTACAGTACCCCAGATCAACATTGCTCAGCTCGATTCAACGCATCGAAGTTAGTGCTGAGCAATGGACGGTTAATTGACGAGTTGGGAGGAAAAGAGGTCAAGATTGTGATGAATAATCAGTTTGAGCTGAAGGAGAAGATTCAGAAAATCGCGTTTTCGGTGAAAACCAACTTTGTGGAGGTTCTGATGCTTCTGGAGAATTTCACGATGGCATCTGGATGTGTATTTGAGAATATGAGGAAAAATAAATTGAATGTATCGATTTTCGAAATGCCCGGAACCTATGGAACGACGGATTTTCAATGTTCCCCAGACTTTAAATCAATGGTTCGAGTGTCTCAAATGGAGAGGAAAATTAGAAAAATGTCGAAGATCGAGGAGAAAATTGAGTATAATTCTGAATGCATTCGACACATTTTAAAACGCGTCATGCAACTTTACGAAGCCCAGAATTGGAATCAAATGCATTCAATGGAGTGGTTCAAACTGGCCTGTCAGTTTTGTCAATGTACAGTAACCGCTGGCAAACGCCTGAGCAATCCAGATGAGAGAACTGAAATTCCGGATTATTTGACGCCGAGAGAGAAGATTGTGAACCTTTCGACTGTGGAAACCGAAGAGTGTGGACATCGAGAGCCATGTCTGAATGCATGGGATCTAATTGCCATTGGAAGAAGAATCGCTGAAGGGAAATTTGAAGTTTGTTGGGGAGACGATAAGGCGGAGCTGTTGGCAGAGTATAGTCATCAGTGAGTTTTTGAATTTTTTGGCTGAAAATTACTGAAAATAGCAAAAAATAGGCTTAAAATCTCTAAGAAACAACCGAAAATTGCTCAAAAATACTTCAAAATAAGGTAAAATTTGTCCAAAATCGACATAAGATTTTTTTAAAATGGCTTAAAATTGACTAAAAACGATCTAATATTGCTTAAAATTACCTAAAATATTCAAAAAATGCAGTCATTTTTGGTCACAATTCACTCTAAAAGGGTCAAAATCGGCCTTGAACTTGAATTTTGGACCATTTTTAGTCAATTTTGGACCATTTTAAGCCTATTTTCAGCTATTTTCACCCCATTTTCCCCCCGAAAATCTCTCTTTTTTCCAGAGTTCTGATTGCTCTCTACGGACTTGCCGATCTTTTCGGAAATCACAAAACGATGAACGGAAGGGATAAACGATCGAAAATCGCCTCGTTAAACTTGTATCAATTCTACAGTATGTCTGTTAAACACCTCATTTCGTGCTTTGAAATCTCAGCCCTTGCGGTTAGAGTCATCATTTTGGATATCGCCTGTTTGAAAGGTTCGTTTTTGGTTCAAAAAAATGAAAAAAAAATTTTTCTGGAAAAAAGAAGATAAAAATCGGTGAAAATCGCTGAAAAAAGTTGCAAAATTTCGGGCTCAAAAATCATGAAAAAAACGCTGAAATATCCATCTTATTAGCCGCGATTTTCTTAACGAAATTTTTAACGAAAGTTAGTTTTTACACTCTATTTTTAGAAAAAAATTTGGGGGGAAAATTTGGTCCAGAAAACGTCAAAATCGTTGAAAAATGGGCTAAAATTAGCCCAGAAAGCTTTGAAAAAAAAAATGAGAAAATTGGCCTAAATTTGCAGATAAATTTGGGCGCCGCAATGAAAGGGGGCGTGGCGACCAAATCTTTCTCCCCTTTTCAGAAGTTTATTTTTGAAGTCTTGTACCGGGCGTTAGAAACTCACTCTATTTAAAAAAACTCTGTTTTTTGGGTTAAAACTTGTCCCTACGTATTATGCTTGTCTGAGAAAAAAGGGGGTACGACGAATTCGAACGTTTTCAAAATCGAACAGATCTAAAATCGAACAGATTCAATTCAGAACAGTCCTTTTTTCTGCACACGTACCAGAACAGAACGCGGACAGAATCGAACTGTTACAAGTTCGAACTGGTAAGGAGTCGAACTGTCCCAAATTGGAAC